TATATATAACCTTAGTTGACAACTCATGTCTGAGTGACTTGCAATATGTGATGTACCCAAGGAACTACTTAGCTAAGCAAAGTTTGAACGTGCACCTTCTAATGCGAATTGCGTACGAACTATTAATGCTGGATTGGTCTAGATATGAACATAGTTGAGAATATCCTTATTATGATAAAAATTGATCTATGCTAGGGGAATATAGGAATTATGTACTCAAGCGAATGATTACTATTGTGTTTTTGTATTTGGGAATTGACGCTGTGGAATTTGTCGGTAGGAAGAAATTGTAATTATAAACCCCACCTACTGAGAATTTGATGTTTTGAATGTCCTATAAGGGACTCCTTGTTGAGTAACTGTGATAATTATCGGATTCACCTGTGAATTGTTCAAACTGAGGAATGAATTGAATATCTATAACAGAATTGAACAGTGATACAAGACTGAGATGGCCAATCTTGTTACATGGTAAAACAAGTTTGAGGGACCAAACTTATTTAAGGGGGGGAGAGTGTAATAACCTGACCCTCATATATGTTTTCTGGTATGCTTTCAGTCCCTTATTCTGTGCATTTATATGCTTACTGTGCAATTCCATGTGAAATTATGTTAAATTGAGTGAATCTTATGATTGTAGAATCATATCTGTCAAGTAAGAAAAATATCTGTCACAATTGTAATGTTCATATCAGAAATTGAAAGCCTTATAGGCTTGATAATCCGAAATTAACTTTATAAATGTGATGAGCATGATTTTTAACTCATATTAAGGATTTTTGTAAAAATCTGATTCGGAATGATTAAACTGATTGATTTTTATTTAATCAACTTATATATATATATGTTTACTTTATATACACTTGACCGGGGGAAGTCTTTGAAAATATCTCTGAGAGAGTGCAGAGAAGTTGAGAGACAGAGCTAGGAGACAAGAGGTTCATCAAGGAAGGAGAATATGGGAAATTTGAGAGGGTTTGTAGAAATTTGAGTTCAAGGTAAGTTTAATCCATCTACAATAATCCCTTATTTGGACTTGAATAAGGTTCTGTTTGTATTTATATGGTTAGGGTTTGTAAATGACTTAATTGTAAGGCTGTTGTATCATTTTGACCATTTTGAGTTAGTTGAGCTTTATGGAGATGAATTACATCCTATTCCTTCTTTTTCCATGCTTGAATTTGTGTATGTATTTAGATGAATCATGTTTGAGAAACTAAATATGGTTAGAAACTCAAAGTGATCAAATTGTGTGTACGAGTTTAAAGCCTTTAAGGATCAAATTGAGTTTGTGAATTATGTTTATGGTGATAATATATCCTAAAAATTACATTGTTGTACCTATTTTTCTACTCTTCCATGTGTTGGCTTTGTTGGATTTGTATCTTGGTTCGGATAGCAAAACAGGGATAACCGCCGCACGTGCGGGGCTCACAGCCGCACGTGCGGGAAGCACCACCGCACGTGCGGGGCTCACAACTGCACGTGCAGAAAACAGGGGAGTGCGAAGTTGAAATTCTAAAATAAATGCACGTGCAGGGCGCACGTGCGGCCTACCTTTCCGCACGTGCGGTGAAGGGCCTTCGCACATGTGGCGCTTGGAGAAAAATCCTGTGTGTTTCTTTTCCTCTGTTTCACCCTCTGGGATCGCTAAAATGTGTGTTTGAAGCTTTTAAAATGCTTGTAAATAATGAATGTTGAACAAATTGATTATCGATGCAAAAACGAAAAGGGACTAATTTATAAGTTACATGTGTGTGTAGGTCGCATACAAGAAGGGACTATCGCTCCGCCACAACACTGTGAGTACTAGTACTGTAGTGATATGCTTATTTGCTGCTAATAGTTATTGTTAGCATACCATTAATCGTGAATGAGCTATGTCTCTATATAATGAACAATTGGAAAACTCATGTGTGATATTGGACAATGGTATACTTATGGACCTGAGGTCGTTCTGTTTTGCTATTGCTGGCCCTAAAGCCATTCAGATAAAAGTTACATTTGATGACAGCCTGAGACTGGGAAAGGTGATGACATGTCGATGTCTCATCGATCCTAATATGATTTGAATTGCTTATGACTCATGGCCTAAGGCCAATGGAGGTAGTGTACATGTCGATGTTCTACCTACCCTCTAGTGTGCAAACAACTATTGATATGTGGGCCTGAGGCCGTTTTGTATGATATGTGGGCCCGATGCCGTTCTATATAATATGTGGGCCTGAGGCCGTTCTGTATTAATGCTGGGCCCAAAGTTGTTTTGGATATAATCACAGAACAAAATTAGATATGTGAACCATGTACTTATATACGGTATGATTTATGTTTGTTCACTTGAATTACCTACATACTATTATTCACTAAGCCCTGCTCACTCTGTGTTACATATGTCTCTGTAGGTAATCAGCCTGGAGGTCAGTCCTAGTCCAGCCCTGGCAGCTTAGCTTTTGTTAACCCTGCTGTGTCCAAGCAGTTAAATGAAGCTATTCATTTTTGTGGAATTCATTTCATAGATCTTAGCATTGGTCACTAGCCTTTTGTTAAATGTTAATAAACATGTATAACTTTATCACCGATGTTTTAGTTATACCCCAATTATGGGGTTGGGATTGTATATATATGTGTCTATATAGTTGTTACTTATGTATATGCTTCTTAATGTGCTGGGTTATGCAATGAAATGTTTATGTCCGGGCATTTAAACACTGGCTCAATGGATGTCATTTTAAGGTTACGAATTACTTCTATTCAGGCCTCGTATTATATAAGTTGGTCATGCTTTTGACCAGTGAGTTTTGAGATGGGTCGGTCATGTCCAAACTTTTAGGGACCAGTTTGGGGTGTGACAAACACTGTCACCACTTTTACCAAAATGGCCAACTTTTTTGCTGATATCAACTCACAACTAACCAGTTCAACTTGACTTTGAGCCCAAAGGTTTCACCCTCTCTACATGTCTCCAACCCGTGCCATGGAAATTCCAGTAAAAAAAGGACATCTCAAGCTCTTTGATCCCCAACCCCTTCCTAGTCCACTTCCATGTAGCCATGATCCCACCAAGTATTTTGCCTTCCACCAATAACACGGTCATGATACTGACAGTTGCATCCAACTTCATCATGAGATTTAAGATCTTATTGATAATAAGATCATAGCTCCACCTCAAAAAACCAAGACCACCACCAACCAATTGCCACCCCATAACCAAGTCCCACTACCTTCCTATCTCAACCTCATCCATACACTATCACTCACTTTCAACCCCATCATATACATCACACCTTCCCATTTGCCCAAGCTTGAGGTGCTAATACCAAAAATCATTGATTTATGCATGACATATGCACCTCGATTCCAGCCAAAACCCCATGGTGGCAGATGATTTGGAGCCAGAATTGGATATTATGAAAAATATTTTCACGGGCATGCACTTCCCTCTTTATGGTTTTCTCGAGCCATGGAGTGATCAAGAAACAAAGAAGCGCGAGAGAAATTCTGGGTCTAACACTGGCTAACTCTATGATAGATCTTTACACTAATCCTCTACTCTGAACATGTAATTTCTTGATATGAAATTTAGGTTGGCACTTGGAGTTTGTTAGAGATTTGATTTGAACTGATAAGTCTAATTCAGATAATGAACAAAGAGCCATGAAGTCGTTGAGTTAGAATTTAATTACTACGATGGGTCTAATTATTGTACGAGGTATATACCTTTGAAACGTGATTATGTCGTGACGGTTTCCTTAGCCTTTGAGGAATTATGATAATGGGGGTTATTTGTGAGTTTGAATTATGTTTGATAGTTTATGAGCTGCATGCGAACGAATACTTGAAATGAATTCATTTCTGAATACCCTTAAGTTGTCATATTATGTGAAAGATATGATTTGTGGAGTAATAAATTAAAATGTACAAGTTATGAATAATGAGACGATACTTTGATGTTATTACATACTACTATTAAGTGGGTTACCAATTAGTCAGTAAAGATGCATTACTTGTGATTTTGGGAGCAACCTCCATTGGAGTTGATTGTATAAAATTGGGAATGGCTAAATGATTGAGAAATGTTATATGTCCAAGACGGAACTAGACTTGTGACAAGGAGAATCAAGTTTGGAGGACCAAACTTCTTAAGGTGGGAAGGATGTAATGACCCCAAAATGCGTATAAGAAATCATCTTTATTTCCCTATGAAATGATGTGGTTTAATTTAATTATATCTATTAGAATTGAAGCATTATCAGTTGAGTTACGGACTTAAAATGGGAATTACCGACCTTTATGCGTTCAAAAATCAAAATTGAGTACTTGGATACGTTAATGGGAATTTTTGGAATTATTTGAGAAAATTAATTTGAAATCTAATTTGTCTGATTCGTTAATGGACGTTTGGGTGATTAACTTTATAATGCAAATTAAAGGCCTTAAAGACTTCATATACCGGAACAGGAGACATATTTATGATCAGCATAATTTTTAGAGTTATCTGGGAAGTTTAATTGAAATGTGATTTTGTGCGATTCGTAAAGGCGTGTTTGGCCCTTCCTATTTGTGGGAAGCTTTTATATATGCATATATGCTTTACGAGTTGTTGAACTCATCTATTTTGAACCAAACAAAAAAATAAAAATATCTAGAGAAAGGGGAAGGAGAACCGTGAGAGAAAGAGAAGGAGAGAGAGAAGAGGCAAAGCTTCTCCCTAAGGAATTCAACATCCATGGAAGCTTGAAGATGGTTGAAGAAGATAGAAGAGAGAGGAAAGATCAACCAAAAGCTTGGGAAAATTGAAGAGACTAAGGGATGAACAAAGGTTTGGGTAAGGTATGTGGCTCTAATTACTAACCTTGTATAGAATCCATCTACTACTTGAAATCATGGATTGATATAGAAGATGTGAGCTTTGAACCCATGAACCTTGATTTTCTAAGAATTCCTTGATTGAAGAAGTAAAATCATTAAATTTGTTTATTGTGAGATTATGGTGTTTGATGAAGAATAATAATGTGAAATTGGTCATGTATTAAAGGGTTTTGGGCTTTGATTTACATGTAATTAAGGTTTGATTTTTGGAAATGAGAAGTTCCACAATTTCAGCCATTTTCGGACTGCTGCTGTCCAGGGCCGCACGTGCGGCACTGTTCACCCGCACGTGCGGAGACAGCTCTGTCTAGCCAACTTTGAATAGGTATATCTTTTGCATCCGGACTCCGTTTTGAGTGATTCTTGAGCCTAAAATCAAGACCCGGAAGTCTAGTTTCCAATGGCGCTAGTCTCACTCCCAAATTCTAAATACAGAAAAAGTTATACCCAAATTAGTGACGACTGTTCACGTTATGTCAATTAGTTATGTACCATTTCTTCGCCTAAACCATTTCCTATCGATTTCTCCTGTTTTCTAAGACATGGATTACAACATATTAAAGAATAATGAGCTTGGTACCACCATGACTAATTGATTGAACGATCAAAGAGAATAAGTAAAGGATCGAGTATAACCTCATATTATGTGTTGTGCACTGTAATTGTAGGTCGAGACGAGGACATTGTACCATTACCACCGGGAACCGATCACTGTGAGTAGTAGTACTTTGATGTACCTTTAACAATTTGTCGTTATTGATGTTAAATCTTCGTCGTAAGAATTATGTTGACATAAATGTTATGAATGCTATGTGAGAAACACTGTGATATTATGGAAACTTCAAAATTGTTTATGAAGTTATATATGTTATGTGAGAAACATTATGGAATTACGAAAATATCAAAGGAACTTGTGATTGTGTGAACCCCTCAGGCCAAGGGCCGAACTGTGAAATTGTGAAACCAATAAATTCATCTATAATCTAATGAGAATGTACTTACTTTTCGTTACTAATTATCAGGAATGTCCTGTTAACTTTACGTTAATTATGTCAACTCATGGGAATGATGTAACAGTTACCATTAGGACTATGTTAATTACAAGGCAAGGCAACTATGTTAACATATAAGAATGATTAAACAAAGGTGTATGCTATTGATAAGAGAGCACGTAAAGTAAGTCATTTACCCAAAAGAATTTATGTTCATTCTTGAAGAATGGATTCTGAGTAAATATAAGAGTAGCTACATGTATCCAGATGAATTGAAGTTAATTTGTCATGTTGCTTATGAATTGGAAGTGATCCAGAATCTACGATATAAGTGCAAAGTTTAGCATCATTATGTGACCCTCATGAGAATGTGAATTAGTCTCTCATTGTTAAGCGTACGATAATGACACGACACAACAAGAAATGCTCTAGTTATGATATGTTCCGTTTGAATTAATGAATGATGTTCAAGTATGTTTCAGGCATGTTTCCAGTATGTTACAAGTTCAAGTATGTTCAGGTATGTTTCAAGTATATGTTACAAGTTTAAGTCTGTCACAAGTTTACGTATGTTACCAGTTTATGTATGTACATGTTCAAGTATGCTACAAGTTCACAATGTTGGAGGATTCCTTTATGGAACGAACAAAAAAAAAATACTTATTATTGATTTGCTAGCACTATTACAGTGCCAAGTATAAGCAAGTATGAATTCTGATTTCTATTTATGATTCAAGCATAATGCATATGTATGAATTTATTTCCGGGGTATGACATCACATGTATGGTTTGGTCTGTAAGACCTAATGATTATTGGTATGGAACAAAGTGCTACTTGGAACTAAGTGCTACATTGTGAGCCACCGCTAGAGTCCATGTGAGACACATCTTGAGTCCATACATATGTGAAAGTTATGAGGCTTATAGCCATCCATATAAGTTGTTATGAAATGAAACAAAGTGCTACACGGAACTAAGTGCTACATTGTGAGTTACCTCTAGAGTCCGTGTGAGACACCTCTTGGGTTCATATATGCATGTCCAAAGGCTTCATGCCAACTTTTCAAGGGCTTCATGCCAACTTTACAAGGGCTTTATGCCATATGTTTCAAGGGCCTTAGTGCCATATGTTACAAGGGCTTTATGCCACATGCTTCAAGGGCCTTAGTGCCACAAGTTTCAAGGGCTTATAGCCACCATGTTTATGTTGCAAGATTGAACTTAAGGCCGTTATGTACGTAGCACAGAATCAGACTATGTGAACTCTACATCTTTATATGCATTGCTATGTGTTATGTTTCAATTTAAGCATCGTTTTATTTATGTATTACTATTCACTGAGCTTGGCTCACTCTGTCTAATGTATGTTTCTGTAGGTAACCAACCAAGTGGTCAGTCCTAGTCATGACACCCGTTTTCTTTTGTCAACCTTCGTGGGTTCAGGCACTGCACGAAGCCATTTATTTTTGTAAAGTCTATTGAAATGTTGGCTTAATTTTGATTACCCATTTAAAATTAAAGAGGTAGAACTTCATTGATTTTTATATAAGCCCAATGATGGGGCTGGGTCTGTACATATGGTTGTTTATCACCGATGCTACAACATATGGTTTGGAGCTTTATCTATTTTCCATGATGAATGTGATGTATAAGAAGTCCTGGCATGTAGATGTAGCTCAGTGAAATTTATATGTATAGTTATTTTCCTACTTTATGCTTCCGATGAGGCCCCATATGTTATTTACTACAGGTTAAGTGTTCGTTTTCAAACGGGTCATGCCCAAGCTTTTAGGGGCGGGTTTGGGGCGTGACAAGTGGTATCAGAGCACGAGTTGCTATCTCACACACGAATCCATTGAGCTTTAGGATGTCCAAAAAAGACTTAGGCATCATGTATGACATCCTTAGTGCACATGAAAGGAATTGATAGCAACGATAATGGTACATGTAATGACGCTAACCGCAATGGTTATTCTTCATGTCTGTTATACATTTTTTGTATATATTGTGATTGATTACTATGCAGAACATGGTAAGACCTGCTGATGGGATTCAACCAATAAAGTTGCGCAGCGGAAGCGTGGTAAGAATTCACGTTGAACGGTAAGACAAGTTATATGCCTATGATTAAGTGAAATGTGTGTTATTAATTGTGACTGTAGAATTGATAAATATCTGCGAAGCATCTGTTTAGATGACTTACTTACATGATTTAGTGTGCACATAAGATAATATGTGCGATGTGCACTTTCTGTAACATAGGCACATCCTTCTTATTATAACAATGTTTAAGCCTGCGAGTTTGAGAGGTTATTGTAAGTTGATAGTTGCTAAAATAAGTTTCACATGATACTTTGTAATATGTTGAAAAGGACTGGCTGTGATAAAAAGTTATATATATAGTGATTCTGTTTTGTTCATGCGTAATCTGTAATCTGTAATCAAGATTTCTTACAAGGAATGGTCGAATAATATGAAGAACCCCACCTATATGATGAGTCTGCCCATATGATACTGGTAAAAAATTGGAATTTTGTTTCTGCATTTTAATGCAAACTGTTAAACTAATCCCTATTCTGTATTTAAAAAGGGGTTAAGTAAAGTTTATGACTAACTAGTCAACTTGAACTTATGATGACATGACCAAGTGTCTAGTATGTTGCGAGAAGTTACGAAACTGTATGTTCTTTGTTTTGATACTATAAGGATGATTTGTGATCACATGTTTTTAAATAATAAGTATTTTTTGAAATGATCAAAATGTTATGAACTTCCGACATGTTTATGACATGATAAGCTTTCTGGATAATTTTCCAAAATGACTAGATACGCTACGAAGCTCCGAATGTTCAAGATATGACAAGATTTCTGAAAGAAATATTCTGCTACGTGTGAATGAGTTCTTTAATTGATAATTTATTGTTGCATACTTGATGAAAGCTTTATGTTGAGCCTCAAGTTATTCTGCCTATCTGTTATAAGTTAAATCAGAGATTGTTCTGTCAAAGTTTAAATAAGTTTAAGGCTATTGAGAATTATTCCATCATCTGATATCTTTGAAAGGCCTGATAAGTTTCTGAGTAATATCTCTGAACAACGTATTGTACGTACGTATGAAGGGTTTGAAGAACTTTATGTATTACATATTTTTGGAAAATGTTTTTGTCCATGTTAGAAACATTTTACTACCTATGGAACAAGAATATAAGAATTTCATGGTAAATGTATTATGTGCTTGCTGTCATGATGTTGACTTTGAGATCTTCTAAGCCAGCATGGATTTTAAATGAATACTACTTTACTGTAATGTGGGAAGTATGACCATTAAGGTTTGATCTGTATTTGATTTTACGAATCCTCTACTCTGAACATGTAATTTCTTGATATGAAATTTAGGTTGGCACTTGGAGTTTGTTAGAGATTTGATTTGAACTGATAAGTCTAATTCAGATAATGAACAAAGAGCCATGAAGTCGTTGAGTTAGAATTTAATTACTACGATGGGTCTAATTATTGTACGAGGTATATACCTTTGAAACGTGATTATGTCGTGAATGTTTCCTTAACCTTTGAGGAATTATGATAATGGGGGTTATTTGTGAGTTTGAATTATGTTTGATAGTTTATGAGCTGCATGCGAACGAATACTTGAAATGAATTCATTTCTGAATACCCTTAAGTTGTCATATTATGTGAAAGATATGATTTGTGGAGTAATAAATTAAAATGTACAAGTTATGAATAATGAGACGATACTTTGATGTTATTACATACTACTATCAAGTGGGTTACCAATTAGTCAGTAAAGACGCATTACTTGTGATTTTGGGAGCAACCTCCATTGAAATTGATTGTATAAAATTGGGAATGGCTAAATGATTGAGAAATGTTATATGTCCAAGACGGAACTAGACCTCTGACAAGGAGAATCAAGTTTGGAGGACCAAACTTCTTAAGGTGGGAAGGATGTAATGACCCCAAAATGCGTATAAGAAATCATCTTTATTTCCCTATGAAATGATGTGGTTTAATTTAATTATATCTATTAGAATTGAAGCATTATCAGTTGAGTTACGGACTTAAAATGGGAATTACCGACCTTTATGGGTTCAAAAATCAAAATTGAGTACTTGGATATGTTGATGGGAATTTTTGGAATTATTTGGGAAAATTAATTTGAAATCTAATTTGTCTGATTCGTTAATGGACGTTTGAGTGATTAACTTTATAATGCAAATTAAAGGCCTTAAAGACTTCAGATACCGGAACAGGTGACATATTTATGATCAGCATAATTTTTAGAGTTATCTGGGAAGTTTAATTGAAATGTGATTTTGTGCAATTCGTAAGGGCGTGTTTGGCCCTTCCTATTTGTGGGAAGCTTTTATATATGCATATATGCTTTATGAGTTGTTGAACTCATCTATTTTGAACCAAACAAAAACATAAAAATATCTAGAGAAAGGGAAAGGAGAACCGCGAGAGAGAGAGAAAGAGGGAGAGAGAGAAGTGGCTAAGCTTCTCCCTAAGGAATTCAACATCCATGGAAGCTTGAAGATGGTGCAAGAAGATAGAAGAGAGAGGAAAGATCAACCAAAAGCTTGGGAAAAATTGAAGAGACTAAGGGATGAACAAAGGTTTGGGTAAGGTATGTGGCTCTAATTACTAACCTTATATATAATCCATCTACTACTTGAAATCATGGATTGATATAGAAGATGTGAGCTTTGAACCCGTGAACATTGATTTTCTAAGAATTCCTTGATTGAAGAAGTAAAATCATTAAATTTGTTTATTGTGAGATTATGGTGTTTGACGAAGAATAATAATGTGAAATTGGTCATGTATTAAAGGGTTTTGGGCTTTGATTTACATGTAATTAAGGTTTTATTTTTGAAAATGAGAAGTTCCACAATTTCAGCCATTTTCGGACTACTGCTGTCCAGGGCCGCACGTGCGGCACTGTTCACCCGCACATGCAGAGACAGCTCTGTCCAGCCAACTTTGAATAGGTATATCTTTTGCATTCGGACTCCGTTTTGAGTGATTCTTGAGCCTAAAATCAAGCCCCGGAAGTCTAGTTTCGAATGGCTCTAGTCTCACTCCCAAAATTCTAAGTACAGAAAAAGTTATACCCAAATTAGTGACGACTGTTCACGTTATGTCAATTAGTTATGTACCATTTCTTCGCCTAAACCATTTCCTATCGATTTCTCCTGTTTTCTAAGACATGGATTACAACATATTAAAGAATAATGAGCTTGGTACCACAATGACTAATTGATTGAACAATCAAAGAGAATAAGTAACGGATCGAGTATAACCTCATATTATGTGTTGTACACTGTAATTGTAGGTCGAGACGAGGACATTGTACCATTACCACCGGGAACCGATCACTGTGAGTAGTAGTACAAAAATGTACATTTTTTTCTACCATTGACAATTATTGTCACTAATGCTCTGTTCTTTGTAAGTATTATACGAACATTTATGACAATTGGAACGTAATGTGAACTTATACGAACGCTGAAAGATTCGCGTACGTCGGTATGATTTCGAAATCCTTATGTTTTGTTAATGACGAATATTAGCCCTTTGTTATTATCAGCATACTATGTTATTTCTTAAAGAATAAGTGGAACTTATGTTCATCCTTGAAGAATGATATTTGTGTGAATCTAAGATTATGTTACGAAGGGACCCAAGAACGTTTAGAATCCATGCGAACGAATACTTGAAATGAATTCATTTCTGAATACCCTTAAGTTGTCATATTATGTGAAAGATATGATTTGTGGAGTAATAAATTAAAATGTACAAGTTATGAATAATGAGACGATACTTTGATGTTATTACATACTACTATCAAGTGGGTTACCAATTAGTCAGTAAAGACGCATTACTTGTGATTTTGGGAGCAACCTCCATTGAAATTGATTGTATAAAATTGGGAATGGCTAAATGATTGAGAAATGTTATATGTCCAAGACGGAACTAGACTTGTGACAAGGAGAATCAAGTTTGGAGGACCAAACTTCTTAAGGTGGGAAGGATGTAATGACCCCAAAATGCGTATAAGAAATCATCTTTATTTCCCTATGAAATGATGTGGTTTAATTTAATTATATCTATTAGAATTGAAGCATTATCAGTTGAGTTACGGACTTAAAATGGGAATTACCGACCTTTATGGGTTCAAAAATCAAAATTGAGTACTTGGATATGTTAATGGGAATTTTTGGAATTATTTGGGAAAATTAATTTGAAATCTAATTTGTCTGATTCGTTAATGGACGTTTGGGTGATTAACTTTATACTGCAAATTAAAGGCCTTAAAGACTTCAGATACCGGAACAGGGGACATATTTATGATCAGCATAATTTTTA